CCGAGCCAAGCTGGTTGTACTCAGCTGTTGTCACAGTGGTGAGGGACAAATTATGAAATCTGAAGGAGTTGTGGGTATCTCTCGCGCCTTTTTGGCAGCGGGAGCTCGCTCAGTGCTGGTTTCCTTGTGGGCCGTGGATGACCGAGCCACGAAAGAGTTCATGATTCGTTTCTACGGACATCTGAAATGCGATAAACTGAGTGCCAGTGAAGCTCTTCACCAAACTATAAAGTGGATGAGAGAATCCATGAGGTACAGAGTGAAGGACTGGGCAGCATTTGCTTTGATCGGAGATGACGTCACTCTAGACTTGTAGAAAGGTGCTACACCATTGAACCGCGCTACAAAAACAGCTTTATCTACCTATGATGTTAATAGGTCTTATCATTTTAACATTTTTAAAGTAACAGTTGTTGATGCTCAGATGAAACGCACAGCAAACATGGAGAAATCATTACCTGATTTGGACTAAGATGAAACTTTTCTTTTTATTGTTGTTGAAGATGTTGTTAAGAGGAGGTTACCGAACTTGTGCGCGCGCGACTCGCGCCTGCGTGTTTTGAGAATGTCGTCAGAAAATCACTCGGACTTTTTTTTACGTGTGCAAGTTCTTTTATAGGAGTTGAAAGTTCTGAGTTTTTGAGTGGCAATTTGTTTGGCGGTCGTTGGTATTTACAGTGTTTACTGTGAGTTTACCGATTACCGTGTTACGAATAAACGAGTAGAGTTGTCTTGGTACACCTGACGAAAGCAAAACCGCGAGAACACGATCTCGCGTTATTGTCACAAGAGAGCCTAATTGGAGCGAGGGAACAGAGTCCTGTTGTGATGTCGACAACAGCTCAAAAGGATTCTAGGAAGTTAATCATGAGAAGTCTGGCACAGACCACGATGGTAGACTACTCACCGAAGAAGAACGACTAGCTTTAAGCAAAGCGAAAGATTCCCTCAAGTACTAAATTGGAAGATATGGTGTAGCCGTTCTTTGGAAAGAAAACAAACCCCATCTCGCTGACACTAAACCTTTGGCACTCTCTTTCCTACGAAGCACCGAAAGAAATTTGAAGAAGAACAGCCGCGTCGCCGAAGAATACCAATGAAGCAACCATCCAGGCCTATGTTGATAAATAATATTTACGAAAGGTTCCCTCAAACGAACATTTGTCAGCGAACTTATGGCATTTGCCGCATTTTCCGGTCGTGAGAATGGATAGATCGACAGCAGAAGTACGAATCGTATTTGACTATGCCGCTAAAATGTAATGGTACTTCCCAACAAACTTATGGTGCAGCAGTCTATATCCGCTGCGGATACGTTAACGATAGTGAAACCAGTCGCCTGATTGCAGCAAAGAATAAAGTGGCGCCATTGAACCCGATGACAGTACCCAGGCTAGAGCTCTTAGGTGCGATTTTGGGCCTGCGCTTGACGTAGTCGTTGCTGATGGCCTTAAAAGTACCAATGCAGAGCGTGACATTTTACTTTGACAGTACAGATGTTCTATGGTGGATTCGAGGACGCTGCAAAGACTTCCAACCGTTCGTAGCCAA